CATCTACACTGACGAGGAGGCCTACTGGCGGATGCGCGGCACCCAACGTTGGGTGCTTCAGGGCGATGCTAACACGGCCTACTTCTAGGCGATTGCCAACGGCCGACGACGCAGCAACTCCATTCATTCCCTGTGGGCGGGGGACTCTCAGCTTGTCCGCCCCTCGGATATCCGCGCGCATGTTGATGGCTTTTATAAAGCCCTTTTTACCCCCACCCCGCGGGGTGGGGCGGTTCTGGCCCCCGACACTTGGTCGGAGGACCAGCTTGTTTCTACCGAGGCCAATGGTGCTTTAGTGGCTCCTTTCTCGGAGGAGGAAGTCCTTGCGGCCATCAAGGGAATGAATCCCTCCTCGGCCCCGAGCCCGGATGGACTGCCAGTATTGTTCTTTAAAACATTCTGGCCGACCATTAAGACGGAGGTCATGGCCCTCTTCGACGAGTTCTTCTCTGGGACTTGGACCTGGGGCGCCTGAACTATGGGGTCATTACCCTCATCCCTAAAGTCCCGGGGGCCTCGGACATCCGCCAGTTCCGTCCCATTACCGTGATTAACGTGATCTTCAGGATCCTGGCCAAAGGGTACGCCAATAGGGTGACCCTTCTAGCGGATTCTATTACCCACCCCAACCAGTCTGCCTTCATCCAAGGCAGATTTATTTTGGATGGGGTGCTAGTCTTCCACGAAGTCCTCCACGAAGTTCGAGCGAAACATTTTCGCGCGGTCTTCCTTAAGCTCGACTTCCACAAGGCCTACGGCACGGTTCACTGGTCCTTCCTTCGGGAAGTTTTGCTCCGGAAAGGCTTTGACGACCGCTGGGTGACACGGGTTATGCAACTCGTCACCTGCGGCCGGACGGCGGTCAACATCAACGGTGAGATCAGGCCCTACTTCCCCACACTCTGTGGGGTGTGCCAGGGGGACCCGTTTTCCCTGTTTCTTTTTAACATGGTGGTCGATGCCCTTGCTGTCATCCTAGATAAGGCCAAGGCCAGCGGCCATATTCGAGGCGTTGTCCCTCACCTGGTGGGTGCGGGAGGGGTTTCCCTCCTCCAGTATGCGGACGACACCATTATCATGGTGGAAGGCTCCGAGTCCGACATCGCCAACCTTAAGTTCTTTCTCCTATGCTTCCAACAAATGTCCGGACTCACCATTAACTTTGACAAGAGCGAGGTGATGGTCCTTGGCTACAACCCGGACGAAGCCCTGTCCATTGCGGACCGGCTTAACTGCCGCCTGGGCACCTTCCCCACCACTTACTTGGGGGTGCCCATTAGTGACTCCCGTCTCTCCGTCACGGAGCTTCGACCGACGGTGACTAGGATGCAGCGCAGAGTGGAACCCTGGAGGGGACGCTGGCTGTCGAAGGCGGCCAGAGTGATCCTTATCAACTCTTCGCTGGCGAGCCTCCTCTGGTTTCTCTTGAGCTTCTATTGCCTTCATGAGACCCTCCACCAGGAGGTGGACAAATACCAGTCGAGGTTCTTCTGGGCCGGCGACGACGACAAACAGAAGTACCACATGGTGAGCTGGGCCGACATCTGTAATCCCAAAGACCATGGGGGTCTTGGGATCCTCTCATCTAGACGCATGAACATTGCCCTCCTGACTCGTTGGCTGTGGCGTATTGCTAATGGGGAGGGAGGCCTCTGGCTCACCATCATCCGCAATAAATACCTGCGTGGCCAACCTCTTGCCTTTTGCCAACTTTCGGGCGGGTCTCAGTTTTGGTAGTCTGTGATCCAGCTCATGCCCGTACTACGCATTGGCACCTCTATCTCTGTTGGATTGGGAGCCTCGACCCTGTTTTGGTTCGACCATTGGCTAGGGGACGCCCCCCTGGCGGTGCATTTCCCAGAGCTATTTGCCATTGCGGTTGACCCTCGGGTCTCGGTCGAGATGACCCTTATTGACTTAGGGCGTCTCGCCTTTCGGCGTCTGTTTGGCCCCCTGGAGGTGGCCGCCTGGGACTCCCTCCTCCAAGATATTGCTCTGCTGCCGATGGAGGTGGAGGAGGACCAGGATGTTGTGTCCTGGCACCTCGATTCCTCCGGTCGTTTCTCCATGAAGTCCTTATACGGTGCCATCGCCCCCTCGGCGGCCCCGGAACCATTTAGCCTGATCTGGGACATCCGTCTCCCCCTGAAGATCCGGATCTTCCTTTGGCAATGGATCCGTGGCCGGCTCCCCTCGGGTGTTGAGGTTCTCAAGCGAAATGGCCCTGGTGATGGGAGGTGCCCCATCTGTGGCACCATGGAGGATGCTAACCACATCTTTTTCTCCTGCCATTCTGCCCAGTTCCTTTGGGCCTGCTTCCGCGAAACGGCTGGCGGACAGTGGTGTAATACCAACTTCCCCGACCTGCTTGCCGAGCTTAATGCCTGCCCTGCCCGCTACCGCCATATTAGATGGCTGTGCGTAGGGGTTCTTGCCTGGACGCTTTGGAACATCCGCAATAAGCTTGTTATTCAGAAGGTGCCCCTTCGTCGTGCGCCTGATGCAATCTTCAAACTGTGTGTCTACTTGCAGCTTTGGCGGTCGCTTAGCCGCCCCCAGGACCGGGACGTCATCACCGCCCTCATCTCCGATCTTCGCTCGATGGCGCTCTGCGTGGTCCCCCCGCTGCCGCCTCCTCCTCCCGAGCCTGACTAGACCGCCTGGCGGCCTTGTGGTGTGTGGCGTGCGTTTTTTGTGATTTCAGGGCTTGTTGTGCTGTGCCCTCAGCTTTGTCCCTAGGTTGTACTGCTTGGGCTATTGTGGACCTCCGTCTGTGTGTGTGTGCGCGTTGTGTTGGACTATGTTGGATGTTTGTTGTGCGGTTGGCTTTATAATATAAAGCGGGGCGAAAGCCTTTTTCGGTAAAGTAAAGGGAAGAGATAACCACAAGTGGAGCCGGTGGAGAGGAGGATGTGTTACTGAAATTCCTTCCCTTTGGGGGAAGTACGTCTTCATTGGAGCGGTGTGGAGGCACAATGCTCCCCAAGAAGCCACTAGGGCCACTGTATTCTCCTCACGCCCTCACACAATGCGAGATGTTGTGATTCCACTAGTGGTGCCCTTGAAGGCGGCGACCGAACCTTTACAAATAGGGTTGGGCAATCTCCCCAACTATTGGAGGCTCCCAACGATACCACAGAGCTTCACCACAATGGAATGTGGCTCCGAGTTAACCTCAACCGTCTAGGGTGCTCAAACACCCAAGAGTAACAAGATCCGCAAGGTATTAGTGGGGGGAATCAAATGTTTCTTGGTGGAAGTGTAGATCCGGGCCTTCTCAACCAAACCCTAGAAAATCAACAAGTTTGATTGGCTAGGGAGAGAGATCGGGCAAGAATGAGCTTTGGAGCAACAATGAAGCTTGGGGGAAAGAGGTGGGTCTTCTTGGGGAAGAAGACCCCCCCCCCTTATATGGTGGGAGGAACAATCCAACCGTTATCCCCTCATTTAGCTCGCAGCAAGTGGTACTATCGCTGGCCGCAGTGGTACTGCTGCTAGGCCCAGCGATACTGATAAAAGAGTTTGCGAGAGAGAAAGACAGGGCAAATAAGACACACTCGCAACTCGACAAAGTCGACAAATTCCTAAACTCCCCCCCCCCCTTTAGCATCGATACACCAAAAGGGCAAAGAGTGTTGCTACGGTCACAGGTGATAGCAAAGCCGAGGATCTCCATCATCACATTCCCGCGTGGCCGCTCGCGCCTCCGTCATCGGCAGTAGGCTGCTCAGTCTCTGAATCCGTCCAGGGACAGTGCTGAGAAATCCACTCCTCCTCATATGTGATCTTGTCCTCAGACCCATATACCGTGCATTCATATCGCTTAGGGCCGCTCCAAAAGCGCCAACACCATATTCATATCGACCCAGAGTGGACACGACCTCTCACTGATGCCGACATTTAAGTGGCGCGCCGGCCAAGAGCGACAACGAGTCAAATATAGCCAAATGTAGACAAGAGCGGCCAATGCACCGATGCCAATGTCGTCTCAGTTTTAGGAGTCAGCTTTGGAGATGCCCTGCAATAATAGACACTCATCGAATGTATAGAGATCTTCACATTGCCTACGAATTCTCCTCTTGCTCCGAGGGGAGCACGACGTGACAAGGGTAGATTCCCCCGAAACTACTACTCCCCCCGTTCCTAAATATTTGTCTTTCTAGAGATTTCAAAAAATGACTACATAGAGAGTAAAATAAATGAATCTATATTAACATATGTCTATATGCATCTGTATGTGATAGTCCATTTGATATCTCTAAAAAGATAAGTATTTAGGAACGGAGGAAGTAGAAACCTTTGCATGTTGAGCAATAAAACAACACTGACAACTGGTAGTAAACGAAGAATTATTTGGTCAACAACGATAGCTCCTGATCGTGCGTGAGCTCGATCCCATAAACGGCAAGATTGGAGGTGGAAAACCCACGTGAACCACTTTGCGCGTCAACCAGTAGAGACTAGATACAGCCCCAAAGTCCAAAGTAAACGCCCCCTCTCCCTGGGCCTCGTTTCGTCTCACAAGCAGGAAGGATGCAGCGTACCGGCCAAAGCACGCGCGGCGCACGTGACAGCGTCGACGCAACTGGCGCCCTTTTCTCCCTTCGGACAATAACGGCCTTTATTGGAGTAAGTACGTCGGAAAAACAAAGAATAATCAAAATCAAATCCCCGGCGGCGTCGGCGGCGCCTCCAAATGGCATGGCAGGGCCGTAATTAGCGCCCTCCGCCCTGACCGTCTCCGTTTCCGTGCGTATCCCACTACGCTACGCGCCTCACGTCGTCGCCGTCTCCCTCACGCGTCCTCCTCCCCGAGACCTCACTGCCCCATTCACTTCCCAACCGAGCTCCATTAATGGCGCCTCCCCTCATTTAGCCGTCACATCATATCATGGTACAGGGACGACCAGCTGGGGCACCACTCGGAACCCAGCGCCACTAGTTCCTTCACCTCGAGGTCCTCGGACCGGGACTTGGACTGCTGGAGCTCCCCGCGCCACATGGGCTACCAACCCAAGCACGGCGGCGGCGCCTCCGGGTCCGCGGGCGGCGGAGGTGGAGGTGCCGGTACCGGTGAGCACCTCCCGCGCCTGCACAGCCCCCGCGTCGCCGGAGGCGGCTACATGACCCGCCGCGCCAACTCCTTCAAGCGCTGCCCCGGCGGCGAGATCGAGCTCCAGATCAGCGGCTCCCCGCGCTCGCCGCGGACCGACGGACTGGGCAGCCCGCCCAAGGACGCGGCGGAGGCCTCCTCCTCCAGCGCCTCCCCCGGCGGCCTCCACCACCAGCAGCAGCTCCGGTTCCGCCTCTTCAAGCGCCCGGGCGCCGGCGGGGGCGCCGGCGACGTCGTGCTGGGGCTGGGGATCCGGGAGAGGAGGAAGCTCGGGAACCTGCTCTTCTTCGCCTTCTGCGGCGTTTGCCTGCTTCTCGGCGTCGTCAAGATCTGGGCCGGCGGCCGGTCAGCACTACCAGCTGGCGACGATTTGCAGGTATGTATGGAAGCTACAAATTGCATTTTACTGGGTTATGATTCTAGCTGCCATTTCGCTGCAAATATTCTCTTCTTTACAATCAACGGCACCTGGTGCTCGACCAACTCTGCATTTTTTCTGCACTAAAAATGTGTTCATTCTTACTACTTCTTAGTTCTTATCATGAACACATTTTTTTACGAAGAGTTACAAATATAGTATAGCATTTCCCGTCTGGTAGTAATGATGTTGATTAGGAACTGAGATGTTACGAGGACTAGCTAGAGTAATGGAAATCATGTTAAATTGTTAACTGTCTAGATTCACCGGCCACTCTTTCATAATAATCATTTTTTCATGATCAATCATTGGCATTCTAACTTTAACATGCAATTTTGCCCAGTTCTCTACCATTTTTCTTGTTGTTCTGGACAAGTCAAACAAGAATTGAAAAAGAAATCTGATGGAATCTGATTCTCATTGTTAAAAGTAGTAAGAATCTGGGCATGTTTTAGCATAATGTAATGTGATGCTTATGCAATTGGTCTGCTTGAAAACTGCTAGGCTGGGTTTATTGTAGTATTATGTTGGACTTGGACAGCTGGAGTTTAATGTCCGGCCATCTTTCCTCAGCTTAACTGTTGCGAGAATTGGTTGGTGCATGCAATCAATATGTTCTATGCTTTGTAGCTGTATTTGGAACTTCTTAAGCAAGGATCTTTTAGCAGAAGCTTAGCATTTTTAGGACGTTTCCTCCTTTGTTGGAGGTTTTTTAGTCCCTTTCCAGTTGGTTTACTATTAAAGCACTTGTTACTTTGGTGCTTGTAGCTGTTGGCAGTTGGCTGTTATAGACTTTATGATCTTGTGGTCTATCCAAATTGGGCAGAATATTATTTATGTCCATAAGAACTTTGGAAGTATGCCTTACTGTCTTCTTGCTTGGAATATATTGTACTAGTAGGTATCCTTAGTTGGGCTTATTCAGATAAATAGTCATCTTTAATTCAGGACTTCATTGGTGAAAATAAAACCATCCGACTTCAACGTTTCCTTCTAACAAACAGCCCTTGTTCTATATAGTTAGTGCTTTGGCGATGCAAATTGTAGGAAAACTAGTTTGATAAGGTGCCTTTTGTGTCCCTGTCCAAGGTAGATGCCTCGACAAAATTAGTTGCTAACTTGTTATACATAATATCTATTCGAAGTGCAGAAATACTGCATGGATGATTAAGGTGACACTACATTTAAATATTCCATTTGCCAGTATATAAAACTAGCATTTAAATTAATGCTAATAGCAGTGAAACTAATGCTAATAGCATGAAATTGCGCACAGCCACAACTGGGCATTTTTTTAAAATTGGTAGAATCAAGCAATATCGAGTTGAAAACTGCATGAGGTTTCATAACAGTAATAATCTTCTCCCAGGTTTCCAACCAACCATATTGTCCATAGAAAAATGTTATACAGCTGATCTTTTAATCCAAATGTCCACATTTATGTTAAAAGTTGGTAATTCGTCGCCTAGTCTTGATTACATTCATATTAGTAGTAACATGTTGCAACCTGATGAAAATTTCAATATGTGCACAAATTGGAAACACGGATTGTACACTTTGCTTACTGAAAAAGGCTTTCGCCCCGCTTTATATATAAAGCACCGACCATACAAGCACACCGATACAAACACATGCCACCACCGCACACAACACACACCCAAGGCAAGATACAAAGGTGCCGAGCACAGCCACACCACACCAACGACTACCAAACAACATGAATCGCTTGGAGCCAACGGAGACCTCCATTGCAATCCTCCAAGGAGAGGCGAGGTGGATAACGACGGAGCAAGGACTCCAAGACGGTGCCTCCAGAAGGGCACGACTATGTGTAGCCGCCACTGTCCGATATCGAAGATCAAGTTTTCACTTGGAGCATCACGAAGGAGTGGGAACACCGCGACGAAGCCTTCATGAAGGATACGGCGTCCACGGACGTCGCCACCGTCGGCCCCTGAGCAAGTGGTGTACCCCGGCGCTCACACCCCTTCGACGCACCCTAGCTCCGCCAACCACCCGCAACCAAACCACCCGCGTGGCCATGGCTGCGCACCCGCACCTGAGACGCATGCTCCGCCCACGAACGTCGCGTCTCCCACCGCTAGGGCTGCCGCCATGCATCCAGACACCCCCAAGACCAGCCAAAGTGACCGGCTTTGGTCCAAAGGACGCACCCGACCGCCGAAACCGCAGCATACGTCCCGCCTCGAACAACGCCGGAGCTGCATCAGCCCGCACCCGGCCGGGGAAAGGGGGAGGAGGGGGAGCGGAC